GATGACCACGCGGGTTCGTTTGTTTTCAACAGTGAGCAAACGCGGCACCCATCTTGCTGATATTTTTTTCATCCCAAATTTTTCATGCAAAATTGAAATGATTGTACCTTTTGATACCCCTGTGTCCTCAACTAATTCTCGCAATTTTAATCTTCTATCACTCAACACCATATCTTGGATTTCGTCGACCATTTCGGGCGTACTCACTTCTACAGGGCGTCCTGAACGAGGTCCATCTTTTGTTGTTGTACGGCCGCATTTAAATTCATTTACCCAGTTAAAAACAGTCTTAAACACAGGGGGAGACTTGTCATGAACGGCGTTCAACTCAACTGTGATATCTTTTGGTGTAAGGCCTTTCAAAAGAAAATGTTTTATCACCGCTCGAAACTCTGTTTTTCCATTTTTCAAATAAACCAATAACTTTTTATTCAACCAACGGTCACAAAAAAACGACTCAACAAATCGAGCTGAAACTTTGTACAATATGTAGTTAGTAGTATTGCTTGCCAAAAACATCATAATTTGAGCGAGACGACCGCCATCTCTTGGACTTTATAAAGACTTATTGACCCCCCCATCTTATGTGTGTGTGTGTATATATATTTGAATGCATATATTCATATATATTGTTTTTGATATATGCATATATATACTGATTATTAATTCATGAAATAGTGGAGTAGAGGGGCGGGGGGTAATAGTAAATATACATATTTTTTTTGTTAAATAAAATTTTCTTTATTGATAAAAAATATATCTTATTCTACAAGTTATTTAAATTAAAAAATACTTATAAAAATCCTTCAATAATTTCATTGCTCTCTTCCCTATCCATGCAGTAACCATTTAAGTAAAACTTTTTCATAAATTTGACATTTTGATGTGCGCACGTCGTTACGTATTTACCGTTATGATTAGGACACACAGAAACTGATTTCATATTTTCAAAAGGGGAATATCCCCAATCATTCAAGTCGAAAACTTTAAGGTCATATCGTTCTAACCACTCTTTTTTTTCAGATCTCCAGAAACAAAAATTTCCGTAGCATCTTTGAGCGTGTCTGTGATGATGAATTTATGCTCTTCGTAAAATTTTTTTTTTTTTTTTTTTTTTTTATTTAACGTCGCTCTATTTATGCTTCATCAGTGCTAATCCGCGACGGAGGCTTGCAATGTGTTTGAGAACAAAGCACATGAAACTTTTTTCAGTGGTGCTTGTATCAATCAGCAGGAACTGGGAATCGAACCCGGGCCTACCGGGTGCGAGTAAATAAAATTGTTTTATTGATAAAAATAAATTGATAAAATTAAATTTTAATGATAAAAATTAAATTATATAGTTTATATATGTATATATATTCATAATGAGTCTTCGTCGTCGTACAACAACATCGCCGTTGTTTCATCCAACTCGCATAAAATTTTCCTTCTCTTGGGAAGAGCGAACAATGGCGATGTGCTGCTTCTTGTCGGAAGACTGTCGTTGTCAAACAGCTGTCTCACTATACTTGCTGGAAAAAAATATTGAAATTAATTTCAATTAATAAATAAAATAAAATAATTATTATATAAATACCTTTGAATAATTCTTTCCGTTTTATGCGGTACCTCCATCGATTACTGGCACATGTAGGCGATTCTTTCCACGGTACAGCTTTGTTCTGCGTCGTGATGATTGGCCTTGGGCTGACAAGGTCGATGCATGGTATTGGTGGAGTGACTAGGTTGATATGCACCATCCGCCTAGCTTTTGCTTGGTGCACCTCGCACACAATCTCGCAATCAGATCTGTAAAAAAGTATAATATAAAGTATTATATATATATATATATATACACACACACAACATACATACACATACACACACACACTTACACGTCTGGTGATAGTTCCACACATCCCGATGATGGACGCGGTGGTTAACGTGGACGGCTGTAATAAAAAATAAATAATTAATAATTAATAATTATATATAATTCTATATAATATTTTCTCGAAAGAAAATTTTTAATTTCTTTGTTTCGTTCGGAAATTGAAAAAAAACCGTTTATTTCCTTTTCTCAGTCTTATCTCGACCGCCCCTACATTCCCCTCTTTTGTTTTGTCAAGCGCATATTCGTTACTATTTTCTATTAAAGACATCGCTCGTTTTCTTTTTCATTCATTTCTCACTATTTCTCTTAGACTATTTTTAATATGAAATTTACAAGGCAAGTCGACGAACGTGCGCGAACTATTTTGCGCTATTGTGTGCAATATAGTATGATACAGTATATCCATACATCAATTTTCACGTATTTTCTTGTACACAACAATTTACATGCAAAAATAATTATGTGCATGACTGTCAGCTTACCTTTTATAATGTTTTATTTCATTGAATAATAATTTTTTACCTCTCTCTTGCATATGAATTTTTTAATATATTATTTTACATAATTTTAATAAAATATTACAAAATTCATAATAAAATGTCATTCAATTTGCTAGATTTGATCAGTAGTTGCTCGCTTGTACTAGTGTGAACTGTAGTGAAATATTATTTACACGTCGTTACAATTCTACATTATGGCTCAGTATTTTAAGGACACTGCTTTAATACTTTTGCGCGCATATCGCTTTACGAAGGCTACCGTTGAAGATATCGAAAGGTGGTTGACATTGGGTTCGTTAGCTTTGCAGAAAGCTGAGAAACTTGCTCAAACGTCAAACTTAACAGTAGCTAACAGACAGAAATTGCAGGCAGCTATGTGTATTATTAGAAGTGTTTTACATCTACTCAATGTTTATAAAATTAAACTTGTAACGCAGCCCATTACTACGTCACTTAATGTTGTAATATCGTGTGAAGAATCTAGGGTCTCGCAATAATCATCAACATCATCATCATCATCATCATCATCATCATCATCATCATCATCATCATCGGTTCACGAACCTTCGAGTGTGGTTGATACTGGTATGGAAGCATTCAATGCTTCACGTATAACGATAAATGTAGCTGAAGATGCAACAGTTCGTTGGAGGGACATTAACAGTGCTTTCAAAGATAGAATCAAGACTGGTGTAATTACCAATCTGAAGTATTTAGATTTGGCTATGTTTTTGAGACATGCCAAACGACTATTTCAAGCTCAAATCGATGAAGCTTTGAAGCGACATAATTCTATAAAATTGGATAAAGGACTTGTCTCGACTGATGTATCGACAGTTATCATCTAGGAGATGTAAGTTATATATTTGTGATTGTTGTCTGCACTATTTCCGAACTGAAGAAAAATTGAAAATACACGATATTGATTGTAAAAAAGTGAATTGTGTTTCCTGATGAAAAAGACAAATTTTTACAATTTAAAAATTTCAAAAATGTGTGTCTTGTGCCGTACGTTGTGTATGCTGATTTCGAGAGTCTCGTAAAGCCGGTGTCTAATGATGAACGCGTCTATCAACATCACAAACCGCATAGTGTTGGTTTTTTCGTTATGTGTAGCTATGATAACTCTAATTCACATTACCGAAGCTATAGACAGAAAACTATCTATAACATTAGTCCAGCCAAATGGTTCGTACATAATCTCTATGACTTAGTTATGTGCCTACACAATTTATACAAAAATCCGCAGCCTATGAGAAATTTTAGCTTTTCACAAGACATTTAACTTTCTTCATGCTACAGAATGCTACATATGTAACAAGCCCTTCGAGACCGATAAGAAGGATACAAAAGTTCACGATCATTGTCACTTTACGGGAAAGTATCGAGGACCTGCTCATAGTACATTAACATTGCTTATCAAGAATCAAGAACTATACCCATATTTTTTCATAATCTCAGCAGATACGATGCACACCTATTCATTAAAGAAATTGCGAATAAGTTCCCAGGTTGAGTGAATCCTCTTACTCAAACGAAGGAAAAATACATATCTTTACCAAATATGTCGTAGGTAGTGACATTAATTTACGATTCGTTGATTCATTCCGATTTATGATTTCGTCTCTCGACAAATTGTCATCGTACTTGGAAAAATATGATATTCTAGAGCGCCACTTCCAACAAGAAGATATCTATCTGCACCATGCAGCAGATCGCTTTATTGAAGAGAAAAGGTGTTTTTCCCTATGACCATGATCGTCATTAATGAAACTCGAAGAGATATATCTTCCACAAAAACAAGACTTTTACAGCAGTCTTTATGATTCGCATATCAGCGACGAGGAGTACGCTCACGCGGAAGACGTTTGGAGAACGTTCTGTCTCACCGATTTGGGCAGCTATTCGGATCTATATCTCAAGACTGATGTTCTCTTATTAGCTGAAGTATTTGAAAACTTTAGCTTTATTATTTATTGAAAAATTTATTTGGAACAAATGTCAGATTACGTATTGTTTGGATCCTGCTCACTATTATACAACACCTGGATTAAGTTGGGATGCTACATTAAAATATACAGGCGTAAAATTGGAGCTTCTGACAGATATCGATATACTCATGTTTATCGACCGCGGTATTCGTGGGGAGATCAGCCAGTGTTGCAAGAGGTATGCCGTCGCCAACAATCCGTATATGGGAACTGATTATAATTCACAAAAAGATGACAAATACCTTATGTATTACGACATAAATAATCTCTACAGATGGAGTATGACTGAATCTCTTTCACAAGGTGGTTTGGAATGGTGCGACATTGACGCAAACTTTTCTTACGATGTTCCCGATGATTTACCTTTTGGATACATACTCGAAGTTGACTTAGAGTATCCGGTGGAAATTCACGACGCACATAAAGATCTTCCATTCTGTCCGGAGCACAAGACTGCTCCTGAATCCAAACAGAAAAAACTCATGACCACTGAATGAAAAAGAACGTTACGTGATCCACTATAGAGCATTGAAGCAAGTAATAAAGCACGGTTTACGTCTCAGGAAAATTCATCGGGCTTTGAAATTTAATCAGAGTGCATGGTTGAAGAAATATATTGATTTGAACAGCGACATGCGTAAACAGGTGAAAAATGAGTTTGAAAAAATATTATTTAAATTGTTCAACAATGCTGTGTACGGAAAGACAGTGGAAAATGAAAAGAAACGTATTGATGTGAAATTGGTGAGCAAGTGGGAGGGGCGATATGGTGCTGAAGCTCTCATAGCTCGGGCAAATTTCTATAGTAGAGATATTTTTGACGATGAGCTAGCGGCGATTCAATTCTTGCGAATGGAAATAACAGTGAAAAAACCCATATACATCGGTCTTGCTGTCCTTGATTTATCGAAAACTCTTGTGTATCGCTTCCACTATGAGTATATGGTCAGTGCTATGGGTGAGTATTGTAAATTGTTATACACTAACACTGATAGTCTGGTGTATCCGATCACTAATACCAACATATATGATGTCATGCGTCGAGATATTCATGAATGCGATACCTCAGACTTTGACGAAAAAAATCAGTTCAATATTCCAAGAGCCAATAAGAAAGTGGTTGAACTGATGAAAGATGAGAACAACGGTGAAATCATGTTGGGACTCAGGAGTAAAATATATAGAGTTAGAGTTCAGAATAGAAATCCAATAAAAAAGGCGAAAGTACTGAAGAGTTCCGTATTGAAAGCTACGATCGTATTTGACGACTATGTCAAGTGTCTTAGTGAGAATGCGATTTTAAGCCGAGAGCAAAAGATCATCAAATCTCGCCATCATGAGTTATACAGCGAGAAGTAGACAAAGGTCGCGCTCAGTGCTCATGATGACGAACGGTACTTACTTCCTGGTACCATCGATACGCTTCCTTGGGGTCACTACAGTATTCCATTGGCGGAAAGAGAGAGGATAGAAGCATTGGGAATGATCTCGATCAAGCCTCCAGCTGCCGTTCCAGTCGCTACCGCCACCGCCTTCGCCACCGCCGACGTGACTGCAGCACTGGTCAGAGCTAACGAGCCACCGACGAATTTGGAGAAGGGAGCAGAGAATGGGATGGGAGAAACGTTACATCAATCGCAACCACGGATTGCAAAGCTCATTCTCGTCGAGAAAAAGTCATCGACAATAGCAGCAGCAACAGCAGCAGCAGCAACTAGTGAGCAGCAACAGTCTTCTTCTGATTATATTCTAAGTAAAATTACATCAAGGAAAAGAAAGTTACTAGAAGTTATCTCTTACGAGATGTTTAGGAATACGAGCATACATTTGTGAGAGGTAGAAGCAGTCGACACTTTTATGTCTACCCATACAAAAGAAAGCACGCACGTTGTCTTGCTTCTCGCACGCGATGTCATCGAATATCATTGCATGTTCGGGATCAATCACTGACTCATGCTGTTCAAGAGAAAATATTTTACTCCGTCTATAAGCTTCAGCATCTCTTCCAGTAATTTATATTTTTGTTGATTGAGAGATTTTGAGTAAACGTAAATTTTTTCGAATCTAACGCCATTGAGATGAGTAATTAACGCCAAAAGACTATTGATTTTACCACAATTAGATGGACCACAAAAAATTGCTTTAATACTATGTGGAAGTAAATCTCCATGACGCTTTGGTAGTTTATCTTCCCGTACGATGACGTCGAAATTTTCGACAGGAAGTTTTATAGTTATCTCTTTAAAATCCATGCTCACGAGATAATGTTCAAACAGTAACTGACCCAATGGCTATATTTATATTCAGTTCTATAGCTTCGAAAGTTAGTCGTATGTTGGACTTCATAGAGTGATGATCACATACAAATATCAGAGAGTGAAGAAAGGACGTGTAACAAAGTCATTAATAAGTTTCCCTTTGAACTTCATATTCCAGGTTACCAGTACTGTGGTCCGGGAACTAAATTGCAGGAATGAATTGCTCGAGGTGATCCAGGCATCAATCCTCTTGACGCAGCTTGTAGAGATAATGATATAGCTTATTGAAAAAATCGAGAAAGTATAGAGTATAGAAACATCGCAGACAGAATTTTAGCTCAGAAAGCTTGGAAGTGAGTGTTCGATAAAAATTCTAGCATTAATGAAAAAGCAGCTGCTTACACTGTAGCTAACGTCATGAAATCAAAATATAAAATCGGTATGGGGCTCAATAATAAAAAGAGACACAAAAAACTCAAGTCAAAAGGTCACAAAAAGAAATATCAAAAGTTAATAGACTTGAAAAACATAATCAAAGCTGCCAATTTTAAATGGCCAAAAAATAAATGTGCTCGAACAATCATCGGCACTGCTCTAAAATTTTAAGTATACCAAAGTTCCGAGGAGTGTTTATGAAAAATGACTTACCAAAGTCTGGACCACATTATCGAGAATCAGCTATAATTAATCTCGATGACGTTAACGGAATAGGCAAACACTGGGGTGCTTATCGGAAAATTGGAAATAACGTCACATATTTTGATAGTTTTGGAGATCTTAGATCTGCATTTGATCTAATGACATATCGGAGTAGATGAGGTCAAATACAATCCAAAAAGATATCAAAATTTTGATACCTATAATTGCGGTTATCTTTGTTTGCAGTTTTTGTGTGGAGCTATATAAATAAAGATACCTTAAAAAGTTATTAGTCGTATTTAAACAGTCATGGAAGAATCATTCACTTCTACTCTCTCGGGTAATTCTTCTCTACTGCAAGCATAATTTTTCTACCCATTGAACTATCAGCAAATAATAGGTACGTTTTGGGTTTAGTAGAATTTTCGACATTCAACTCTATACCCAATATAGATATAAATAACAATAAATTTTACGTTGGCGATAAACCACCTGTAATCTTACTTGTGGGGAGTTATGAAATTGAAGATATAGATAAATTTCTTCGTAAAACCTTAGAGCCTGAAAAAACAGTGAGTCTGAAACCGAACAATAATACTTTACGTTGTGTAATTGAAAGTTCAGAAGATATCGATTTCCGTCCACAAGATTCTATTGGTTGACTACTGGGATTTGCACGGCGTAAACAAAAAAAAATAACTCTCACCATTCGGATCTTCCAGTGATAACTCTCAAAGTAAATGTTCTGAGAGTCGAGTGTAACATTACCTCAGGTGCATATATGCATGGGAGTAAGGTTCATGATATTCATGAATTTTTTTCTGCAGTATCACCTGGATATAAAATTATTGAAGTTCCTTCAAATGTGATTTATCTCCCAGTTACCGTAAAGTGTATAGATAATTTACAATAACGTATCGTTGATCAAGACGGGAATTTCATAAACTTTCGAGGTGAAGTGATAACAATTAGATTACACCTAAAAAGTGTGTGATGGGAATCTTTTACAATTTGAATAGTAGTGGTAGCTATATAAGCAGTAAAATATACAAAACCAACCATCAGTCGTCGATTGAAAGTAAAAGCGACAACACGGCGAATTCCGAGTGTCAATCGTCATTGACAAGCGAAAGGATTGACACATCAAAGCATAAAGTTCTTTTAAAAATTCTCGGCTTAAAAGTAATTTCTAATGGAATGTAATTGCATTATTTTTTGCTGCTTTCAACGAAATAATGGAGAACGTTCTAGAAATACAGTCACCTGTCACCTTTGATGAATACTTGGCTCATTATGAGATTCATACTCATCAACCGTACACCAATACATTGTTCAAAATAAATATGCGATGAAATTCGCAAATCAATCCAACATAAAGACCTGTGTCTTTTACCATCTCGTAACTCATTGCGTATTTGTGGTAGATTGTGCGATGATAAGAATGCAGTCTTAACGAATACTCTATTTGTGAACAACGCCATCAATCACTTGTTTGAGGAAATTAGGTATGAGCTAAATGCGATAGAAATAGATAAATTTAAAAACGTTGGTCTAACCACTATTATAAAAAATTGGCTATCACTTAATCCGAGTCAAAATTGGATTGCTGAAAATGCCGGATGGATAACAGAAAATGATCAGAAAATAATCAACGACGAAGGATATTACGATGTCACTATTCCGTTAAACTTCATGCTCGGATTTGCTGAAGCCTATCGTAAAGTATTGGTAAACATGAAACATGAAATAATTCTCACACCATCGAGTAGTGATTTAAATGCCGTTATCCAAACAATAAAATTAGTGTAACTAGAAACAATCATCGAAAAGTTCAAGATCGATATAACACGCATCGAATGGCTTATGCCATACGTTACTGCAATGAATACTCAAAAAATTCGTCTACTTGATTTTCTGAAAAGAGAAAGAAGCATTTCAATGAGTTTTCGTAGTTGGGACTTACATGAGTGTCCAATGTTACCTATGAACACAAGTCATGTATGGACAGTCAATATTACAAATCAACTGCAAAAACCACGTTATGTCATCTAAGCTTTTCAAACTAAACGAAAAATTTTTTCAACAGTTAATGCAAGCGTATTCGATTATTGCAACATTAGTAACGTGAAACTTTTCCTCAACTCTTAGTGTTATCCGTATGGTAATCTTACTATTGACATAAATAAGCATCAGTTTGCAATTTTAAATGTAACGGTCCTATTTATGAGCTATTTATTAAATCACTGAATTACTGCAACTAGTCTAACGTATCTATCTGTTTATTCAAATCAATACATTAAGCGGCGCTACCTCACTGTTTACGCGATTGTATACAAATAAGAGTCGAATCAAAATAAACAGCGTGACGTCACAAAGTAATAGATATAGATATAATGATTTTGGATATTAAGAAAAATATGTTAATTAGAGATAAATTGAATATAACAAAGTATTGATTATATAGATTTTAGCATGTAGATTCATAATATAATAACAAAAATTATATTCAATTATGAAATAATAATGAATATCAATATGCAAAGTTGATTTATTTATTACGTTAACATATGAAATATTAGAAAAATGTAAATAATTCATATGCAAAGTGAATAAGCATAGAACATGAGTAAGAATTGGTTTCATTAATAACAGCTGAATAAAAACTGTTATTAGTAAATAAACAATTAATAATTTATTTAAACAATAAGCTATACATAGAACGAAAATATTAAGTTTATACTTAATAATGATAACTTTATGATTTAGAAATCTTAGATAATTAATCTAATAATTGCATAATAAGATTAGAAAAAACCGTTACAAATATGAAAAATTAGTCATAATTCAAATGTTATTAATTAATTTTAATAATTAATATTGGAGAATACTTCCAAAATTAATCAACTATAAAGTTTGCAACGATTACCGAAAATCGTTCGACTCGCGTAGGTTACGAAGCGGCTGAGCGTAGCAGCCGTGATCGGTTTGAGAGAGAGAGGGCGCGTAGGGGCAATGACCGGGAGGGGAGAGTTCGACAATCAGTATGACCAGAGATTAGTAGGGAGATTACTGACGGCAATGCTTCCGACCGTGCCCGACAAATGTTACTGGTTCGAGCGCCCCGTAGTGGCCAAAGCCCCGAAGCTGACGCACATTTTCGTTCGGCGCGAGAGGGGAATACCAAACGTGCGTCTAATATACAGAGGAGAAGAAGAGAATGTGCGTCTGACCAATCACGTTAGCCGATGGGCGGGGCGAAGCAAGAGTGCGAGTTTGAGCACTCGAAGAGAATTTCGTCTCGGCAAATCTTTTCTCTTCGACCAGAATAGAGGCTTCGATTCCCACTCGATGCAATTTTTTTTTTATTGTGCATAATTAAATATATCAAAATATCTTAATTATTACAGCAAATATCTACAACTTAAGCCCCTTTTTAAATCACAAATCCTCGTACATTTCTAT